AACGTTGAGATAAACTATGAGAGATAGAACATCGTAAAACGACGAAGCACGGGAACGTTGAGATAAACTATGAGAGATAGAACATCGTAAAACGATGAAGCGCCATAGACTGTCCAACCGTCATAAATTCTCCATCCAAGAATTCGTCTGCCGCGTCGTCAAATGCGAGGCTCTCGCCCGCGCCACTTGTTGGCCCTGCTTTTTTGTCCCGATCGTCCTCACGAGCTTTGTTCTTTTTCATCTCCACTCCACCACCACTAGCAGCCTGATGCACACCACAACTAGTTTCGGCATGCTTCATCTTCCCAAGGCTTGCGCACTCAGCATCTTGTTTCGTGAAACGCGTAGAGAAGGTCCACACAGGAAGAGTCTCGCATTGCACGTGCTGTCGCCGCAGCTAGAAGATCCACATACGCCATCAAACGGGAAAACACGCACACCATTTTTGTGCGATGATGATTAATGTCGGAGAAGCGTGAACAGAGTGAAAAACTGCATAAGAGATCAACAGAAACACAGTACGCAAATCCATGATATCTGAACACTTATTTTACCCAAAAGCATAGCACAAGTCTAGAATTATTCTACGCGAAATGCAACACAAAAACCAACCAAAATAGCAGATGAGGGCTGATGTGAGTGCACATATGTAGTCTGCAATTCTGCTAAAAAGTGGCGCCATTATTTTGAGCGCGCGTCTCACGCTCAGTACACCTGTAGTGAAGCTCCTTGGCGCTCGACTGAATGTCCTCAAAGGTGATGAATTGTCATGCGCGCTGACTGAGTGACAATCACCAGCACAGCTGAGGCCCTTACGTTCTCTCGTGCGTCTCACGCTCATTCCTTGCTTCGCCTGTAGTGAAGCTCCTTGGCGTGCCATTCTATCTCATCAAAGGTCATGAAATGCATGCACGCTGAGTGACAATCACCAGCACAGTCGCAGCCTTTATCTTTCTCGTCTTGAACGATCATGCATCCAAATTCGTGGGGTCATATCCTCTCAAAGAAAAACCATCCAGCATATACTTGCACAAGAAAACACGTCACCACTCCTGATATACGAAAAAATTGGATGCAAATTGGTCAACTTCATCGTTCATGTTTGTAATATAATTCGCACACTGCCACGGGAAGAAGTCTATAGCGCTCAGTATACTTCATATCTTCAAGCCTTGTCCATGCTGTTTACGCTGCCACTATTCGTCGTAGAAAACCTGGATAAGAAGGCGTAGAGGGTGATGATGTGACACACGATGCAACAGCCGAGGTATTGGATGAAGGAGCATCAACATGGCACGTCAATCAATCTCACTCAATCTAATTGCACCACCAAACGAAATAGCTTACCTAGATTAGCACTGCACTTCTTTGCTTCCGACCATCAACGATACTCCAGCTCCTTTCAGTCCAGTAATATCATGCCGCGTCTCCATCCAACCAGTAGGTTACTTGGCGGCAATTTGTGCGAAATTAATGACCTGAAGTGAAGAAGAATGGTCTGAAGAGTGAGGATAGTGTTGCAATAAATTTGAGTGGGAAAAGACGTGAGCTTTTTTATTACACAAAATCACGGATCTTACTGCATGTACTCAGGGGAACGGTGCGAAGGGTGTTCCGGGAGAGAAGAGGTAGGCGCAAGCGACAGACAAGGGGTGTGAGGACGAATGGGAAGTCGCTCACAATCGGATACGACATAGAGGACAAGGCACGAAAAACCGAGGCGGGAGTGGGCGCCACTCTCGTCCGCGTGGAAGGGAAAGCACGAAAGAGAAGCGGACGCGCATTAGAGCGAAAAATAAGGAAGACGCGAAACAGAGAAGGCCTAAGGGAAGAAAGAGGGCGCGCCCGGATATACACAATAGAGATCACAGGCGACTTGGAGGACTGAAGGCAGAAGAAGAATAAGAACCCCGGCGCCCTTGGTCGTCCTCGGGCTGTGGGCGTCCTTGCTCAGCATCCACAGCGTCTCGCTCCGGGAGGCAAGGGTGGCAGAGGTCGTACTCCGCGGCCACAGCATAGCTGTTGAAACAAGGCTTACAGACTGGCGTGGCGTGGAGAGGGTTTCTGTATCCATCACGGAAATCAGGCGGCGCATCGAGAAGGTAGAAGCGGCGGACGTGATCCGGGATGCCCCAACGGTGCCAGGAGAGTTCGTCGGGGGGTAGATATGTGTCGACTACGACAGAAGCCACATCCATCATGACTCTTGGAAGACGCAGATCCTCAGGCCCCAGGGTCAGAGTCTTGGTCGCGAAGGCCTGCGCCACCTGATCTGGAGGAATTCCAGGCCGTTCGCTCCACTGCGGTCGCAATGACCCGAGCCGGTGGAAGAAAGCTACTGGCGCGGCAAAATCCGGGTCACGCATATGGTATAAACTTAGGTCAACCGCCTGGCGGAAATGCAAAACGCAGCCGGTGTCGGTCGACAAGTCCCACGCGGGCCGCTGGAAGACGAGCTCTTTATAGTCCATCCCGTCTTCGGTCTGCTCGTCTAGCGGGCCGTAGCACAAAGCCACGTCCTCACTTCGGGCATACGCACGATAAAACTCCCGGAGATTAAACGCGGGGTTATATCTGCAAAGTTCTTCAATCCGTTTCCCCCAGTCGCACGTTTGGCCACATGTGAGCGCTCCGTTCTCCTGGTCTTCTCCGTTTTCAACGTTTCGCCGCAAATCGAAAAACGCCATAGGAATTAGCATGGCGGTCACGTTGGTGATTCGGCGGGGCAACGCGTGAAGGGTAGACCCCAAAGAGGGAAACGGGGAGAAGACAAGAACACGAGGAAACGAAGGACGCACAAGTCAAGGGGCGACAGAGTGCCTATTGTGATTGGCCGACGCAGCGAGAACAACGACTCGCGGGCGGCTGCTGGCGTTGATAGCGAGGATGCAACTTAAGCTGTCTAAACTGTGCACAAAGCCGACGACCCTTATTGGGCGCCCGCGTTATCCGGCACGGGGATCCGGTCAGAGGTCCGGAATGACAAGAGCACACGAGGGGAGCGCATGAGGAGACGCAGAACACAAGAGCAGCC